CAGGACAATTTTAAAGTCATAATGCAAGACGTTACTACCTTTAAAGAGGCACAAAGCAAGAATGCCTAAGTTTCAAAACAGAAGCATTAAGAGAAGCATGAGTGATTCACCGGTTCACCACACCCTTTCTTTCCCCCAGCAGGGATAAAAATAAAGCATTGTTTTTAAAGATTCTCCTTTGCAAACGTTCCTTAAATCATAAAGACGTTTAGGATTTGGCAGTAAAGAAACTGTAATTTCATGGAGAATATAATATCTGCCAACTGGTTCCAGACCAATATTCTTTGCAGCATTGCATGCAACCGTTTTTATATCTGTCAAAGCTTCATAAACAGACAGACCTTCAAAACCGTTTTATGTAACGTCATGCAAGTCTGTACATGGAAGGCAAAGATTTCTGTTGGCCTCAGCGATGCAATTTGTGGTTGGTATAATTTGGCTGATTAGGGGCAGGGAAGGAGAAGAAAAATAAGGACTAATACATTCTTTATCCTTATTAGCTTGGTAGCTTTCAGAATGCAAAACTATGTAAAAGCTCAAATTCCTTTGTATATCTGTGCACAAGCCTCTATCATGCCCACACTGAGTTCCTAGTGCCATAGTTTTTATGGACTGTTCCTATTTTTAAACTTAGTAAGAGAGAGCTAGGAGCTGAGGTGGCTCAACGGGTTAAGACGCTGAACTGCAGGCTGTGGAAGGTCGGTAGTTGAGCAGTTCGAGACCCGGGTTGCCGCATGATGGAGTGAGCTCCCGTCTCTAGTTCCAGCTCCTGCCAACATAGCAGTTCGAAAGCAAGAAATTGCAAGTAGATAAATAGGTACCACTTCGGTGGGAAGGTAACAGCGTTCCGTGCGCCTTGTTGTTTAGTCATGCCGGCCACATGACCACGGAAACGTCTCTGGCTCTTAGGCTTTGAAACGGAGATGAGCACTGCAACCCTAGAGTCAGATTCGACTGGCTTTCGAGCAAGGGAAACCTTTACCCTTTACCTTTAAGAGAGAGCTTGCTCCTATTTTTTGTGGAACCCAGCTTTTTTCAGTCCTATCATTGCTTTATAGAAGTTATCTAATAGAAAGGCAATGTATAGCATGAAGTATGCCCTTCCCATTTTGAAAACTGAAACTGTTTTGTAGAAAAAGTAGCGGCTAGAAGCCGGGAACCTGTGAGGATTCACATTGGGGAGGGTTATCTCACTACCCCAGATGATCTTCGTCTGCATGTTAGTCCCCCTTCCCTTCTCCCCTTAGCCCCTGTAGCTTCTCCCCTTTTCCCTACTTCCTTCTCTCCCTCTAACACAATTTTTCTTTCCACCTGCTTTCCCTGCATCTTGTCCACCCCCTCCGCCATTTTCCTTATCGTCTTTCCTGTCTGCCAAGCACTCCCTTCCCAACTCATCTGAAGCTTTAAAAGGAAACTGCAGCAGCCATTTTGATTACCTAGGCAACCACATACATCCGTGATGTTGTCTCCTGTTGCCGACGTAACTGAAAACGGCTGCTCAAATTCTATGAGGTAATCTTGCCAGATCACAACACTTTAAAACTTCATTTTATTTAATCTCACCCTTTTTTTATTTAGGTTCCCTCAGATTTGTAGAAACATCTCCCTCTTTTTTAACCCGGTCCCACTGAGTTGGATCCAGACTAGTTTTTCCACTATCGGACGAGATGACGTAATTTCCAGCCATTTCCTCTTCCTGCTGCAGGAAGTTTTCCTCTCGTGCTGTTCCTGGGGGTTTCTAGCCCCTCAGGAGCAGCATTTCAGAAAATCAGTGGGTTGCAGCAGGAGGCAGGAACGTTCTGGTTCGCTGACAGAAGCGCCATGCGTGAGAGGAAAATTTACTTGGGGTCCAATCTAATGTACAGATTTTTGACCTGCACTCTGAGCCCACGCTCAGATTAGATATATAGGGCTGTTTTTTGTTTTGTTTTTTTAATTGATTTTTATTTTCTACATAGGTCCTAAACAACTACACGCTAACTAAAATTACAGCTACACAACAGCCACATATCATAATTTTGTTATCTTAAATCAAAGTTTTTCTCTTATTCAGGTAAAGAATAAAAATTTCATTCTGTTATTTCGATATGCGTAAAGTTAAAGTTATTGACGATGCAAGCTTTTGTAATGTAATATAAACATTTCTTCTTAGATTTAAGCTATTTTCTGCCTTTCTTTCCTCTCTTCTTTTTATAATCCCGGGGTGGTTTGGGTGCTGCCGTTCCCAGTTCTGATTCGGATTCTTCTTCTGAGCTGCCATCTGAAGATGTTTCATGGCTTCCCAAGCCATGCGGACTGTCTAGTTCTCCTTCCCCTTCTCCCTCTGTGTTCTTTGTATCTTTTTTAGAGTCCTGATGTCTTTCCAAAAACTGCTTCACTTTAATAAGAGAGTCAATCTTTTCTTTTTTGCCTTTGTAGTTGAACATCAAGCCTTTGGGTAATACCCATCGGTAGGTAGTGGAGTTTTCCTGTAAATTGGTGGTTAAATTCTTGTATTGTTTTCTCTTCTTCCTTATCTCAAATGGAATATCTTTTAGGATTCTGATATCTTCTTCCTTGATTTTCAATATAGTCCCAGATGTTGCTTTCAATATTGCATCTCTTATAGATCTCTTAGAGAATCTGACGTATATTTCACCAGGTAGGTTTTTTTCGTAATAAATTCTGAATATGTCTGATAGGTCATATCAATTTCGCTTTGTAGAAATTAGATATATAGGTGATGACTGTTCAGTAAGGATCAGTTTTCCTATTCTGATTTGCACCTATCACTGTTTAACCTAATTAAACCTACAGAATACATCTTGTATGTCATGTTAACTCTTATGAGCAAACTGCAGATGTTCCAGCATGCCCTGGAACATTTCTCTCCCCTCTCTGCTTTTTATAAATCATTTGACTGAAGAAAAGAGTTGTAGGGATGTCAAAAGCTTGTTCAATCCTTTGTGAGATTTCCATTGGTCCTGATAAAGGCATTATACTACCATTGCTTCTGATGAAGATACAGCATGCCTAAACCAACAGAAGTTGGACATCCAGAATAGGAGAAGTTAACCAGGGCTGGCTATTGTTTTTCAAGAACTGATCAGAATCTTAGAGACGTGTTGTTCCAAGATATATTCCACCATGCTCACTTAACAGGTAAATTTTTCAGATGCAACACGAAGAAAACCATCCATTAAAGTGAAATTAGCATTTCAGATTCTACTTACAGTTATTCACATCTTCAAGTACTTGAAGGGCTGTCATATAAAGAAGGGTACAGAGTTGTTTTCTGTTGCCCCGGAAGGTTGGATCAGAACCAACGGGTTGAAATTAAATCACAAGAGTTTTTGGCTATGCAATAGGAAGAATTGCCTGACAGAGCGGTTAGTGGAACAGGCTTCCTCGGGAGGAGGTAGTGGGCTCTCCTCCTTTGGAGGCTAGATGGCTATTTGACAGCAATGCTGATTCTGTGAACTTAGGCAGATCACGAGAGGGAGGACAGGAAGGGTTGCATCAGTGCTTAGTTCTTGTGGCCCTTTCTTACACGGCCAGAGAAATGCTGATCGCCACTTTGGGGTCAGACAGTAATTTTTCTCCAGGCCAGTTTGGGCAGGAGCCTGGATATATATATATTTTTGGCCATCTTCTGGTCATGGAACAAGGTGTCACTGGGAGTGTGTGGGGGGGGGCGGTATTTGTGAATTTCCTGCACTATGCAACTAGATGACCCTGGAGGTCCCTTCCAACTCTGTGATTCTATGAACACCTCATATTCAGTGTTCCCTCTGAGCTGAGTTAGTGTGAGCTAGCTCACAGTTTTTTAGCCTCCAGCCAACAGATTTCTGTCTTAGCTCAGGAAGGAGGGCTCCAGAGCAAACTAATTTATGCAGCAGCCAAATCGCTTGCTCACAACTTTAATGCCAGTAGCTCACAAAGCAGAATCTTTGCTCACAAGAGTCCACAGCTTAGAGGGAACATTGCTCATATTTATGTTTTGGCACGAGAGCTGCTACAGAAGAGGTCCTTCTCATGAAAGGTAACCCCAGAATCTATCAGTGACGTGTAACGACTCCACACTTTGTCTCATATCCTACACCGCTGTTGCCCCTCCTGGAAAGCCGGGCAACACTACCACGGCCAGAACCACCATGAGGGCTCCCACTATCTTGCGTAGAGCTCCCAACATTGACTAAACATGGGGAAAACTGTGCTGGATCAGTGCCCATACCAAGAGGAGTTGCCAATCATTCATTTCAGAACCATTCCATTTTTATCCCTTCCCTCCAAGGAGCTCAGGGCAGCATAAGCAGTCCTCTTCATTTTATCCTCACAGCACTGCTGTGAAGAAGAGGAGGAGGAGATTGGATTTATACCCCACTCTTCTCTACCCAAAGGAGTCTCAGAGTCGCTCACAATCTCCTTTCCCTTCCCCTCCCCACAACAGACACCCTGTCAATGCTCCCTCTAAGCTGTGGTGTCTTGTGAGCAAAAATTCTACTTTGTGAGCTACTGGCATTAAAGTTGTGAGCGAGCGATTTGGCTACTGCATAAATTAGTTTGCTCTGGAGCCATCCCTTCCTGAGCCAAGACAAAAATGTGTGAGCTGGAGGCTAAAAAACTGTGAGCTAGCTCACACTAACTCAGCTTAGAGGGAACACAGAACCCTGTGAGGTAGGTGGGGCTGAGAGAGCTCTGAAAGAACTTGTGACTGACCCAAGGTCACACCAGCAGCTGAATGTGAAGGAGTGGGGAATCAAACCTGGTTTTCCCAGATTAGAGTCCACGCTTCTAACTACTACCAGAAACTGAAGTAAATGACCCCAAGAGAGAGCTTGACTTTCTTACCTGAAGTGGAAGATCACCCAGTGAACCTCATGGCTCAGTGAGGATTTGAACTGGAATCTCTCCAGTTCTAGCTTGACACATTGCCTCTCTAGCACCAAAGTATCTTTAAAAAAACTACAAAAAGAACTGTATCTTCTGTGCCATTATTTCTACAGGTAATATTTATTTACCTATTTTCGCGTTCATACATTTCCTTGGTAGCTGTTCGAAGATGCTCTATCTCTTGGGCTGTTTTCAGCCTTATTTGTTCCAGTTCATCATGAAGTTTGTTTTCATATTCTGTTTTATAATGGTCTCTGAAAAACAAATGCAAAAATTTCTGATATCACATTTTTAAAATATTTGTGGTTTTGCTTCTCTTTGCATTTCAAGATGAGTTACTGAATCCAAAATTCTAAGGCAACAAGACAATTCATAGCAATTAAATTGTCCAGGCCAGTCACCGGGGGGTGGGGGCGGCGGCAGGCGGGGTGCTAATTAAATCCTTTGACAGTAATGCAAGAATTTCCTTTATAAGATTTGCCTGTCTTAAGATTTCTTCTTCATGCAGGAATCCACATCCTTTTAAATCAGATTCTGATTTCAATTACATGAGTCCGCCTAATTCTGATAAACTGACCATTAAGCGTTGCTGTGTTTATCGTACACAGCTTTTGTCCAAAAGTTCTCTGATGTAATGAAACACCTGGTGATGCTGAAAAGCATGAACAGCCCTGAGTACCTGGATGCCACATATTTCTCATACATCTCCTCCCTGGTCTTTTTGGCATCTTCTAGCTGAACCTGAAGCCTTTCCAGACGATCTTCTTCATGAGCACAGCGAACATTGAGCTCCATGTTTTGACGGTTGAGATAATCCTTATCCTTTTGTAGCAAGGTAACAGACTGCTGTAAACTCGCAACCTGCAAACAAAATAATCATGATGAAAACAGGCAGATGGTATTTTAGCTGACAATCACACCAGAGGTCAGTAAGAATTTATCTCCAGGTTAGAGCAACAGATACAATCCTGCATTTCCTCACTGGGGTCAATACCTTACTTGCTGAACAGCCCGGATTCACATTTATACCTGTTCCATGTTCCAAGGCACGTTTGTTACAATGGCACCATGTTCATACTTTTCTTTCCAAATATTTGGAATATTAGTTCTTTCCAAATATTTGGAATATCAGTGTCTAATAAGACCAACTCTAGTGAGTAAGGTATGCCAATACCTGTAATTGTTTTGATTGAGTCCAAAATTGTGATCCAAAAGGTTTTAACTTTTTTACAGGTCCACCAACAATGAAAATAGTCTGCGATTTCACCACATGCTTTCCAACATAGAGGTGAGTAAAGCTTTCTTAATACGGCATGATTTGCCGTTTACCAGATCTACAGTACGGAAGGTCAGGGAGGAACTAAACATGACGGTAAAGCACATTTATTTAGACCAAGGGTGCCCAACATGTCAACTGTTGACTCCTTTCCTGGTGCCCACCAAGTCTTTTTAGAAAGTGGGCAGGCTCAGCGGACTTTTGCCTAGCAGGCCTTCTGATTGGCTGTGCAGATATTTAAAAAATGCTTATGCTATGCAGGGCTCTTTTTGTAGCAGGAGCTCCTTTGCATATAAGGTGACACACCCCTAATGTAGCCAACCCTCCAAGAGCTTACAGAGCTCTTCTTACAGGGGCTACTGTAAGCTCTTGGAGGACTGGCTACATTAGGAGTGTGTCGCCTAATATGCAAAGGAGTTCCTGCTACAAAAAGAGCCCTGAATGGTATAAAAAACGGTAAGAGCGCCGTGAAGCAAGCTAACTAACAATATATTGCATGTGTTAATGATAAAACAATTTAATCCAACACGTAGTGAATGAATAACAGGGATTCAACAGAATTTATAAACACGTAAGGTAGAAGACATCGGAACATATTATACAAGTGCCAAGCTTGCATTATGAAGCAGACCATTTGGGAGTGACAGGAGGCAGTGGTGTTCTGCTATTTAATATGCCCTTCTGATAAGTGGTATCTGACCAAATTAATAAAAGGTTGTCGGCTCTTGGAAAAAGGGTCTTCTCAAAACAGTCTTTATCGATTGTCCATCGGGATTTCCTCAGCTGATGACAGATCCCTGCTTGAAGTCCTTGTTCTAAGCACCACAGGGGATCTACCTGGAGATTGTGCTTGTACAGGAGGACTTCAGCTTGTATATAATGTATTATGTACTCATCATTTGATGGTCCCTTAACTGTTGACACCGATTGCTTTTTGGATTGTTCATGCCTTGAATAGTATGTTCTGATATTTTCTACCCTATATGTTTATAAATTCTATTGAATCCCTATTATTCATTCACCACATGTTGGATTGTTTTATCGTAACATAAGCGATATATTGTTAGTTGGCTTGCTTCACGGTGCTCTTCAGATTTTTTTTGGGTATCATCTAACCGTGATCCCCATTTGTATTTTGCTTGCTTATGCTATGACAGCAGCTGCCACCACAGCAGAAGGATCTTCACGGTGGGATCGAAGGTAAACTGCTGCAGCGATTTTACAGCTGGCCCTGCCTCCGGCGGCAGCCATTTTGTGGATGCAGCCGCCATGCTGTGTTAGAATTCCGAAGATGCCCCCAGGCTCAAGAAGTCTGGAGACCCCTGATCTAGACAGGACACACCTGTATCTAAAAGCATGAACACTGCAAAACTTTGTTTAAATGGCGAAGCTACTTCCAAAAGGTAGGATTCACACGAAGCAACTTGACATACAAAACAGACTATGGTAAGATGGAGCTGAGGTTGGAACTGAGCTGGACACGGAAGGAAGACAGGTGAGTGGAACGAGGTCCAACTCATTCACTGAGCAAGCCTGTCCACTTCAAAGGAAAGGCAAGGCTGGCTGCTGTGAAGGTTCTAATGAAATCAATCATTCTAAGCACTGACTAAACGACAAATGCAATTTTAAGTTTCTTTGTTATTCTTAATTTTTTTATATAAATAATAAAGATAAACAAGTTACGAAGATTCCACCTCTTTTGATAAATCGTTTCTTTCTTTGGTTAGTGCTGTGTGAGACACTTCTAGTATTTCGTATTTCCTTCGGAGTTCCGACAAGTCGTGTTCAAATGCATCCCGCTCACTGTCGAAAGAAAAAGCACACTGTGATCAGAGGAGCTGTAAAAATCCCCCAACCTTTCATTGTTTCCGTAACCTGTTTTTCTTGGGGTAACCAGACAAGCTCTGCCCTGCGACTGCTGGTCTCCACGGTGTATGAGAATGAAGTTATACAATTTGTGTGCCTTTCTTTATATAAATTGCAGTGTGGTGTACTCAGACTATTGCCATTATCCCGCTTGAGAGCTTCCTAGAGGCAACTGGGTGAACAGAATGCTGGACTCGATGGGCCTTTGGTCTGACCCAGCACGGTTCTACTTATGTTCTTATGATAAAAATGGAAAAGAATGGAATTTGCTCTAAGGGCACATTAGAGCTCTGTCAGATAATGTGAGGTGGTAGGATCAAGCCAGACATCACGACCTATTTCACACCATGGGCTGGATTCCACAGATCCGTTCCACTAGGGGGGGTGGTTTCCGCCAGAGCCATGAGCCTTCCTCTGACACAAGAGAAGGGCCTCCTGCTTCAGGAGAAGGCACTTTTGCGTCATAAGAAAAGCATCACTGGTAGCACAAGGGATCCAACCAGCCATTTAAGATTCTCGTATTTTTAAAGTCTGTATGGGGAAATGACCAGTAATGGCCGAAGACGCACATATGTATATGAAACAATGGGGTGGTTTCACACAAGTTATGAAGAACTCCCAGGCCTTCTCTCTTGTAATTCGTTTTTACATTTCATGGGTGCAACATTATTCAGAGAGGCATCCAGCCGCATGCCAGGCGCATTTTTAAAATGCAAGAAAGAAATATCTCAATAGGAAGCAGCCCCTTTGAGGGTGCAATATGCAACACAGGAACATTCAGAAACTACAGATTCCATAGAGAATTGTAGCATACTGCTAAAAAATACAATTCTGGACAAGTTCTATACAATTACTAGCATGCATAAGTCTTATTAACCCTATGAAGGCATTAAATTTCGGATTAGATCAAGAAAATAAAGATTTGAAGTGATTAATTAAGAGGGAACTTATAAGTTACATACATTTCTATATTGCAAGACCTCAGTGAAGATGCTTGGAGGGGACTGATTTTGCAAGGCGACCTAAATTTCCATCTATTAGTAAGTGTACTGGGATATACTTACCATTTTACTTTATCATAATTCTCTTGCCTATAGTCTCCTTGATGAACCATTTGCTTTGTGTCTGCTAGTTCGAGTGCTAAACGTTGACATCGAATGTCTAGCTCTGATCGATTTCTTCTCTCTGTTTCATAACTCTGAAAAGCAAAATTTAAAATGACAAAAGCGACAATGATTATTTACCCACGTCAAGAATGTTTGCCCTGCTAGACTTTAACAGGGTACTGGGTTGGATCTGGACTAGTATTTCCACGGGTACCCACTGAGCGCCATTTTCCAGCCTCCCTCAGGAACAGGATTTCAGGGACATTATGGGCTGCCGCAGGAAGAGGGAGAGGCATGAAAATCACACCCGGTGGGCAGCAGTGCTAATCTGGATCCAACCCCGCATCTCTAGAGAAATATAAAAATCAAATTTTTAATAATCCACTCAACATTTCTTTGTACTACAAATTGCTTTCCAACTAAAGTGTGCCGTATGCTTTATAACCTTTGGTTTTCTATATCAGTTTTACCTTACCAGTTCTAATTCTTATAACCATGGGGAGGAGGAATTAATAGTCAATTCCTCTGGCCTGCGAAGGATAGACTATTCCTGGACATGGCTGGGAACAGGAGGACAATGCAACTAGCTTTATTCACCAAAAATAGGGCAGTGAGGCAGGCTGTGGACTTGCATTTCTCAAGCAGCAGTCACTGATGTGGCAGGGTGAAGTGTTTTCAAAACTAAGAAGACTTTCGGAAACAGTCTGATGCATTACCAGAGCAATCCTAAATCGTTCTACCCATAGTAAGCCCCATGTTATTCAGTGGTGTTTACTCCCAGGGAACCTATTGAAACCTATGGGGATTACCCATGGGGAAGGGACTGAAAAATCCCAGAGTATACCCCAGTTTCTATTCATGCCTAGAGTCTCTATTTTAACCTCGTTCCATTTTACTACACCCCCCACACATGCTGTTTGGGCCAGGTGAGACTCTGGGGGTAAAGGAAAGAACACTTGATGGGTAAGTGGTAGTACTTCACACTTCCAACTTTAAGAAGGGAAAGGCAAGCCACTAACAGACAGAAGAATGTCTTCCACAGAATGTTCAAACAAGGGTAGTCACATGGCTACGTTTTGGGATTAAATTGGGGAGGAGTAGAAATTGCCAGTATCTAACCAAAGACCTTTGCCAGTAGAAATTGCCAGTATCGAATCAAAGGTTGGTCCTGCACTGGGCAGGGGGTTGGAATAGATGATCTGTGTGGCCCCTTCCAACTCTATGATTCTATTCTATGATTCATTTCCCTATATGAGCAACAAATGTATATTTAAATGCTATAAACTGGAGTGGATCAACTGGAAAAATTAAGGCCTTTAATAGGGGAGGGCAATCTTCGGAACAACTCTGGCAGTTGTGCAACATCAAGATGTATTAGTCTGAACTCCTGTTTTCCTTTCCTTCCTCTTGCAGGTATTTAAGCCTGGCTGTAGCCAGAGGCATGTGACCATGTGTACAAGTCAAAAGGCTCTTGAACCTTTGCTCTTAGACCCTGGCTCATGGCCTTGAGCGAGCCAGCCCAGTAGATCCAGGCCTGGCCCAGGATGGAGTTCACAGTATTCTCTGCAAAACCCTTTGGGTCCCCACTGGGCAGAAAGGTGATGTAAAGATACTTAAATGGATGTTAGAGTCCAGTAGCACCTTAAAGATCAACAAGAGAGCCAAAGCTCCCTTCATCAGAAGTTGGCAACACACTACCCCAACCTTACATTTACTGAGATGGAGAGAGAGAGAGAGAGACAGAGACAGAGAGAGAAGAGATTGGATTTATACCCCTACCCGTTACTCCCCGAAGGAGTCTCAGAGCGGCTTACAATCTCCTTTCCCTCCCCCTCCCCACAACAAGGGTTGGAACACTTTCCCTATGAGGAAAGGTTAAGGCGCTTAGGGCTCTTTAGCTTGGAGAAACGACGACTGAGGGGTGACATGATCGAGGTTTATAAGATTATGTATGGGAAAGAACAGCTAGAGAAAGAGGTACTTTTCTCCCTTTCTCACAATACAAGAACTCGTGGGCACTCCATGAAATTGCTGAGTGGTCGGGTTAGAACAGATAAAAGGAAGTACTTCTTCACCCAAAGAGTGATTAACACTTGGAATTCACTGCCACAGGAAGTGGTGGCGGCTACAAGCATGGATGGCTTCAAAAGGGAATTAGATAAGCATATGGAGCAGAGGTCCATCAGTGGCTATTAGCCACAAGGTATAGATAGGGACTCTGGGGCAAGTGATGCTCTGTCATCTTGGTGCTTGGGGGGGGGGGTCAACAGTGGGAGGGCTTCTAATGTCCTGGCCCCACTGGTGGACCTCCTGATGGCACTGGTATTTCTGGCCACTGTGTGATACAGAGTGTTGGACTGGATGGGCCTTTGGCCTGATCCAACATTGGCATCTCTTATGTCCTTATGTTCTTAACAGATACCCTGTGAGGTAGGTGTGGCTGAGAGAGCTCTTGCAAGGACTGCTCCTGAGAGAACAGCTCTGAAATAATTTGTGACTGGTCCAAGGTCACACCAGCGCCCAAATGCAGAGGAGTGGGGAATCAAACCTGGTTCTCCCAGATTAGAGTTCGTGCTCCTAACTACTACACAAAACTGGCTCTCAGAATGCAGGGATAGAGATTATTTACTCCTGAGGATCGGAAGGCAGGTGGAAGGGGTGCTTCACCCTTCTGTGCCCAACCATTCTCCCCTGCACACATAATGGCCCCCTGGGGACAGAGATCAAGCAGCATGTTTCTTTTAATTCTGGCCACTACTTCTAAAAAAAAAAAATGCTGCACTTTATTATTTTTTTAATATCATTTTTTCTATTCCTTTAAACCATTTATACTCTGCGGTCCCAGTTTCAAAAACATCAGACACGAAAAGTTAAAAGTACAACCTTCAAAAACCTCAGGTCCAGGAAAAGATTTCATACTCAATGCCGTGAAGAATGGTTGAGATACTTTAAACAATATGGAGTAAGTGGGGCCACCGAGGTTAGTTCCAGGTCAGGGACAAACCGACAATTACGGTACTACCCCGGCCAGTTTGTACTTGCAAATGGTTGTATATAAACACTCTAGCTCTGCTAGAGGTTTTTAGTTTGAAAAGCATACTTACTGCTCTAACAATGTAGTTATAAACTTCGCTCGATGAGAAAAACATAGGTTCGTTTACAAAATTCCCGACTGCTGCCAATGGGCCAATGACAAGATATATTGCTGCAAAAATGTCTCATCAGTGTAAATGTTGGCATGGTCATGTTTAATCCCAAGCATAAGAACATAAGAACATAAGAGATGCCAATGTTGGCTCAGGCCAAAGGCCCATCCAGTCCAACACTCTGTGTCACACAGTGGCCAGAAATACCAGGGGCCATCAGGAGGTCCACCAGTGGGGCCAGGACATTAGAAGCCCTCCCAGTGTTGACCCCCCCCAAGCACCAAGATGACAGAGCATCACTTGCCCCAGAGCCCCTATCTATACCTTGTGGCTAATAGCCACTGATGGACCTCTGCTCCATATGCCTATCTCATTCCCTTTTGAAGCCGCCCATGCTTGTAGCCGCCACCACTTCCTGTGGCAGTGAATCCCAAGCAAAGGGGAACATTAACGGTTCAGGCCTTGAGCCCCCCTTGAGCAGAGTTTGGGACCTACAGAGATACATTAAATGTGCTCGACAGCCTTGGCATGCCTTTCCAGCTTTGCTTCCTTTTCCTCAGCTAACCCCCACCTTGTACCAAACTGCCTTGATGAAATGCCCCTCTCTTTCAAAACGAGTTTCCCGTGCAGCGTATAAGTGGTGCGGCTGCTCAACTAACGCGAGCACAAAGCCCCATTGAGGGCACCGGCTGGTTGTAGTGAAGAAAGGATCTTCCTGACCTGGATTCAACTAACCACGCAAGCACCAAGTTTCTTGGTTGTTAAGACAAGAACTGCCTCTGCAAGTCGTCAGCACAAATACTCAATTGAGAGCTAAATGCAAAGTCTGTCACCACCCCACATGGAACTGAAAACCTCAAGCCCAGGAAGCATTTGCCAGGACGTCCCCGTGGTTCAGCGGGATTATTAATGACCTGGGAAGTCAAGATCCACATAGCTGAGACTAGCAGTCATTCATACAGAGGCCAATGCTGTTCAGTCCCGAATGAGGCAAGTTAATCCTGTCTATTCTAACAGGATGTCTTTTAGCTACAATCCCTTTATCAGTTATTATCATACTGCAGAATGGGTTCCACTGTGAAGCGAACAGATCTTTGGAGCTGGTGTGTCTCATCCTAACGGGGGGGGGGGGGCAGCTTCGTCTTCTTCAGGACGGACCACATTCTTTCTACCCCATTTTAAAAGGCAGGCACAATTTGCTCTTCTCTGGCCTCCTAGAAACACCAGGCTGCCAATTTTAACAGTAACTCTCCATGCCTATTAAGAAGGCTCACTTAATCAACAGCTAGAATAAGTCCCGTATTTATTCTAAAAGACAATGGAAAGACTTGCCGAAGGTGGCAAATTCTTTCAGGGGGGTCACCTGGGTGCGAGCGGAAATAAAAAAAGGTTGACCCAAAATCTTGCCGGACCAAACAATGGACAGAATGTGGCAAGTTTGTTAGCAGACGAGGGCGATCCAGCATCTCATATTAAATCAGAAGTGAACACACAAATCTGCCTTATACTGAATCAGATCATCAGTCCATTGGGGTCAGTGTTGTCTAATCAGAGTGGTAGCAGCTCTCCAGGTCCTTCACATCACCTACCGCCTGGTATTGAAGATGCTGGGAATTGAAATTGGGACCTTTTGCATGCAAAGCAGATGCTCTACCACTGAGCCACAGTCCCTCCACCAAAGTGGATCGCTGTTCAGTCCTTGACATTGTTCCCTCTGGACAACAGCAACTACAACCTTGTAACATGGTACACTTGAACAATCTGATCATGGACAGTGGAAACAGAGGGGCAAAAGAAGGACCAGAGAAGAAACTGAAGGGGGACACGGAACCTCTCAAATGTATAAATACCTCTTGGTGTTAGGACAGTAATAAAATACATACAGGAGACCTTGCATCTCCACTGTGAAAGGACAGCCAGATCAGCCTTATGGCAAAAGATGACAG